ACAGGCTAGGTCTCCCGAGGTGCCTCGGGTGGCGTCACCACTGATCGCCCAGGTGCACAGGCTAGAAAAGCTGATGGGACAAAATGAAGCTATAAGTTGCCTTCAGTCCTTAACAGGACTCCCTGTATTGAGAAGTCGCCAGAGACTCAAAGGGGAGATGCAATGATGCTAAAACTAGAAAAGCATGGTAAAACAAAAGAAGATATCGAGGCATCTTGAATGAGCAGTCGGTGAAACATGATGAACTTGCTGCTTAATTGTATAGCCAAGACAAAAGAATAAATGAGCGAAAACAGAAAATCGATCAACTACCGTAAAATACCACGGAAATGGGGTGGGCACTCCTTCGGTATTTTACGGTAGATCTAGAAAAATATTCTAAAGACACGAAGAAATCTGGGAACTAAGAAAGGCAGTTGACGAAGCAGGGTTTTATTCTAGGCATCAAAACATTGAAATCCACGGTATCAATCAACGGCCAAATGAAGATATATTGGAAGTTATTAACAGAGTGGCCACAAAGCTTAATCTGCCACAACTGACTGACATCGAAACTGCCCATAGCAAGAGCAGCACCTATCTTAGCAAGGTTCACTGAGAGGCACATGGGGGACCTGTGGGCAAGAAAAAGAACATTTACAGAACTGAAAATTTGACCAAGGCATGTGTCACAAAATTTGAGCGTTTTGTGATTTTTCTTTTTTTGCTCTTGCCGTCTACCCCGCTGGCCCGGCGCATTCAGCAGGAGGGTTCAGGCCTCGCCCGCTTCCTGTTTTATGACCCCCTGGCCCCCCTCGTCCCGAAGACGTTTCTCGCGAGGTTGTTACTTGGTACCCGATGGGCCCGATTCGCTTCCCGGAATGTTGGGAATAGCTTCCAGATGTCCGAGCGGGGGTGCACTTTATGGTTAGCTGAGGTAGGCTCACAGCGGGGCTTGCCAGTGTGACATGTTTTTTTTTTTATATATGTATTTTGCTGTTGCAACTGCAGAAAAACAATTCCATTTTGGGGGGCGAGGAAGAGTGGGGTCTGCTGCTGGAATTTGGGAAGTGAGGACCGCGGCTTGGTTCCGAGCTGAGTCAAGGCAGTGTGTGCGAAGACTTGGCTGGGGGGGTGAACGCAACGCGAAGTTTGGGCGGGACTGCGGTAGCGACGGAAGGCTGAGCGCGGGAGGAGTTTGGGCTCCCTGGTCCAAGCACTGCTTTGGGCGCCCAAGTGTGTGTGCGTTTGTGGGCGAGTGCTGTGCCGAGGAGGCACGCCGACAGCACATTGACCTCCCGGGTTTGGTCGGCATCGCAAGAGGCCGTGCCACCCCCATCACCCACCGGACTCAGGTTTGCGCCACTCACCCCCATATCACTTTGTACAGTTTATCCCTCCTTTTTTTTTTTTTTTTTCTTCTTCGAGTGCAAGAACTTAATTGCAGAGAACATTCTTTGAATGAGTGCTGTATTTTCATGTATAGATATTACTGTACAATTGATAAGTCGCACCCGAGTGCTTCCTCTGTGGGGCGGTCTGTTGTGCCTTGCTGTCGGGAGTTTTGTTTGTTTTCTTTTATGTCTATCGGATTCTTTTCAGTAAACCGGTTTTTTTGTGGTTGAAAAGAAAGGAGTCTGTGTTGTTCCTTCTCCCCTCACCGTGAGCCCGTCACCAGGGCGTGGACCTATCGTCCGATCAGCGGTCCTGTCAAAATTATAAATTCGTTTGCATAGGATATCTTTTTTCACCGAACCTGTGACAAACTGCATGCAACAGTTTGCTCTGCGTGATCAAGACGTGTACTAAAGAGAAGGAATACAAGTTTACTGAGATCAAAACTGGAAAAATATTCGTGAGACAAAAAGAGAGAGCGGCTGCAATCAAATCAGGAGTGAACGATCAGGTGAACATGGAATCGTCTTTTGAATCGTTTCGCGAGTGGGTCGCATACACTGATTGATCAAAGGTAATCTTAACACTACTAAGCAGAATTTAATTTGCATAAATGTTAGAAGTATTAATAAGCATTGGGATCAGTTATTGCTATTATTCAGTGAGCGATTCCCATTTTTAGACGTGCTTATTTTGAGCAAGGTACCAGGACCCTGCCGGTGGCCCAAGCACGCCTTAGCCCCGCTGTCCCCCAGTGCACCTCAGTTGCTAGGTGTTCAGTCACGCCGTCGCTCTCTATAACCAGCCAATCCTATGCGGCCGTCGTCCTTCATGCGCATGCCAAGTGACCCGATCTGCGAGCCAGTGACAAATGCGCCCTGTGCGCGTACACAATTGGCTCTCACTTCTCCCCCCCCTACTCTTCTTACAACGCCTACACACACACACACCTGATCTGCTTGCACCAAGAAGAAGAGGGGTTTCAGGAATGTTCACCCTGCAGAAAAGTGCTGGGAGGCTGCATTCACCATGCTTTCTTATATACAATTGCTGCATGAAATGCCGATGCATTATTTCGAGAGTCAGCATGGCGGCAGCAGCGATTTCGGCACATTTTTTTTTCTCTGGCATAGAACTTTTTCCATACTGAATTATTTAGTGCTTCATATTCGTTGCATTTTCTTTGCTTACACCGAGCACTATTGTGTTTGCTATTTGTTATTTGAATAAAGTATTATTATTATTATACACAAGTCATGCGAGATAATAGTTTAAGGCGAATGAATCTAAAGACGTGGAGCAAAAAATGGTGCGAGGCAAATGATTCTATTCAGACATTATCAGCGGGAAGAATGAAGATCTAAAAGAATGGTTTACTACTACAATATTCTGTTCGTAGCCTGGCGTGGTTACTTCTTGTGGCGCTGGATCTGTGCTGACTGAGAGTCTTACCTATGAGGATTTGGTCATTGATAATTTGAAACAAAAATTGAAGTCTCGCAAAGCCTTTCTATTAAGTAATGATAGATCAGTCAAATTATATAATTGTGATGAAATCTGTGTAGCAAAAATATTAAAATTTATCTTGCAGTCAGGCATTGCACTTTTTTTTATTTTAGCGACATGCGTTTAGCTATTGGTAAATTGAATTATATTAGCATACTCAACTATGAAACACACCAATGTTTTATACGCTAGTAGTTTTGTGTCAGAAGCCGATTTTAATACTGTTCTCAGGTACCCGAGCTTGTTAGTTGTTTTGGTAGTAATGGTAGCTAGCAATGTGGTTTTCCTATCCAAGATTCTGCTGAAAGTGAAGTGAGAGATATTTGTATTGTTCAACTTTTTGAAGGGGAGTGTCATCGGTGCTGTAAGAAAATTGGAGAGGATGTTTTTTTGTTCCTGATGATCATGTAAACAGATCTTTTGGCGTTCAGCACCACTTGCCAGTCCGAACACCAGTCAGTGATGACTCGCAGCGCTTTGGTTGAAACTGGTCATTGAAGGGCAACTCTGTTTGATTTCTAACCCTTTGAGTTTGCAATCATTTTGTTTACTATAGTTGCTACTGAAATAGTCTGCACTGTTATGTTAACCAGTTCTAGAAGTCTAACCTCACTCTTCACTGAGACAATCTCCCACATCTACCATCATCTGTCATTTATCCATACCTGCCAACCTGTGAACTTTCAAATTCGTACAACTCCCGTGACTGCAGGGGGGGAACAGAAAATTTGCTGCTTCCTGATCCATGTTGTTGCTCAAGGTCCAATTGATTTCGCTCCCATTAGCAGCAAATATGATCAGAGTGCAGTATTACCAGAGCTTCCAGGGACTCTATAGTCGCCGACCATTTTTTCGGACTTCGATATTTCGGACTTAAAGGCGGAACCGTGACTTACCCCATAGAAATAGTGTATATTCACGACCAATGTTTCGGACAGCCTGAAGTTAGAAAGTTTGATTATTCAGACAAATTTATCGCGAGTGATCAGCGGAAAACACCATCGAGAAGCGGCCATTTTGAATTCTATGTTGGCTGCAAATGGATTGGCTTGGTTTGGCAGCGATACTTGAGTACTCCTGAGTCCTACTGCTAGGCGACGCTATGCTAGCCCTTTTTTTTTCCATTTAGTTGCACGTCATCATCATCATGATTATCATTTTGCTTTGTTTTCCCGCTCAACACCCGTTCCTTCGTGTCGCCAGTCGCCATTTTGTGCTCGTGGTTATGCGCCTCTTATCTCGTTCGGACAATGCTGGCTTGGACGTCATGGCCCCATTTGCTCTTCCGCCGCGATGTGTCGTCAAGAAGCGCAGGAAGTACTCGACCATAACGCTAGAAAAGAAGGCAGCGATTCTCAAGCTAACAGAAAGTTGCCGCACGGGAACGGAGGCGTGACCTGAAACAAGGCACTATTTACAGCTTTTTTTAAACCCGCTGGAAGTAATAAAGGCAAGTTTTTTAATTTGCTGATTTTTAGGACTGCTCTATTATTTGGACGTCTTTTCGGTCCCTGCGAAGTCCGAGTAATCAGTCGGCGACTGTAGAAACTTTTAAGTGCCTGAGCATGGATAGGGCCATGACTGTTGTTTTCTTTGATCCTGGCAGACTCACTCAGTCACTCTGGTAACGCGAGACATTGTTCTTCCAGACACTGCCGTGTTCTTGTCATCAACACTGCTTCGTCAGCAGCTCGGCACTTTAGTGCGGCACAGGATGGTCAGTAACGGTGTCTCAAATCTGACACACATGTTGGAAGTGTTTAAACTCTGCTTCAGCGTACCCAGGCTTATCTAAGGACAGCGACTGCAAAATGAATCTAAGCAAATGCGTGTGCATCTCGACATCTGAAAAGTGCAATGTTGTAGCAGATTCTTAATGCTGAATTGGTTTAACCTGATTTCAGTGACAGCACATTCTTAGTAAAAATTGATTAGTCATATGGCTTTCCCTTCAGCTTCTTGAAACATGGTGGCCAGTCAATAATAGTTTGGTGGGCAGTGATGCCCTGGCAAGGTATACATTGTGACAAATCTTCTGCCAGGGCCTGCCAACTGACTTGGGAGGTGACAATGACTGCGTGGGCCATTAGAAACGGGACACTCACCAACTTCCCCAATGGTACTGTTGCAGAACTTTTATTGATGGAACAATGCTGAAAGCCCAAGTGACGCCCAATGCTTCTGGTTTAACTGCCTCGGGGTATAACGGGACCCTCGTTTAACTTTGTACGATAGTAGAGGTTCATCCCGTGACAAAATGGCACAAGCCTGGTTGGCCTATTTGAAAAAGAGGTACTCTGCCCCAACATTTTTGTTTCTCGACTAGATTTCACGACTGGCTCGGGGGTTCCACGAGGGGCCGGTGAAAGACAGAAGATTGAGAGATCGATCCAAGGCCACATACATGTAGCAGGGATCGAATGCCAGGGAGTAGACGGGGCTGTTTCCACGCCCGACGTAGTACATCTGAAAAAGGGAGGGGGGAGCAACACGCATTAGTTATTGTTTCAGTGCACCACATCTCGGCTGGACCAGCAAGTCATAAAGCCGTGAAAATGTGGCCACGTCTTTGAAAAGAAAGGTGCGACCACTATGCAAGCACACACGTGTCCGATGTGGGATGTACCTCGATGCCTACACAAATAGCAGACTGCAAGTGTCCGAGACAGGTTTGAACAACAACCCACAACCTAAATTTTCTTCTATGGCCACTTGGTTACACGGAAAAGCGGCAAACCAAAGATGTACAGGCCGATGCTAGCAGTCCCCAAGTCGAAAGCTCGCATAGTTCACTTGAGATGGGGTGCAACAAGAGCCGGTGCTGACCTTCACTGGTCGTGTTCTACGCCGGTCCCAAAGGCGCACAACGCCGTAGCGGTTGGTTCCGCTCAGCACTGTAACATTGTGATCCGATGCCACGCAGTAGACGGCCGAGTCATGTGGATCTTCCCAGGCACACACGCTGCGCCAGAAAGAGAGTTTCTTTAATTTCCTCGCACCAATGGCAACTGGGATGTCTACCATGATTATGTTTTCATATTCCCCCATTATATTTTAGAAAACTTCCCCCATAAATATGGAGCAACCAAGACGTCGAGGAGAATCAATAATGAAATTTAATGGTATGGAAAACAAAACAACCCATCCATAACATTAGTACAATGCTGAAATAAAAGGCAACAGTCAAACCTTTTGTATGCACCATAATTTAAAGGGGTCATGAAAAGAAATTATATCTACCTGATCTTAATTTTTTTGAAGGGAAACTTCGGTCAATATTTTTCAATTTGGGATTACGATTGTTTTCAGCTCAGTCAGTGTCCCTAAATTACAAGGTATAATTTTTTTTTTTTTTTTCAATATTGTGTGTAGTTTTATTAATAACACGGCTCAAAGTTTGATTAACCAAAACTATCTGCTCGAGAGGCATGGAAACGGTGATCATCAGCTGTACGGCCGTGACCCGATGTCACCGTGATGCTTTGGTATGCAGTACGATGTGCAGAATCAACTACAGCACCACCATGACATGACGTCACGAGGGTGTTGCTGTACGCGTCGCCCAGTGTTGCCTGACTAAAAGCTAACCTGCTTGCTGCCCGCTAAAGAGCAGCTGGTCGCATCTTTAAAATCGGCTTTAGTGGAGTATGCGGCTTCACTTTGACGTAATATCTTGGTTGTGATCATATTTCAAGCTACTAAAACGACACTGATTTTTTTTTTTTTTTGGTTTCGTTTTTGATTGGAGTTGCTTTTTGAACCACAAAAATGATGATTCCTATGTATTATGGCAAAATATTGCTTACGCATTTTATAAACTGTTTGAAATGGACGTTTTTTGGCCTATCTGAAGTGGCCAAGCAACACTCTTCTGCAGCATGAGCAACAAAATGTGCCGGTAGCTATGTAAAAAGGTTAAATAGATATTCAACCTTATTTAATCTTCACATGATAAATTGAGAACCAAAAAAAAAAAGTTATTTATTGGTGCTCTTGTATTAGTTGTACGATACCACGTCATGCAACTGAGATACAATTTCGGTTTCAAACACATCGGCTGAAAAAGAAGACAAAGTCTCGAGCCATCGCCGAACGGATACTGCCAAGGAACTAACCTGGTGTACAATGCTGTTAAAACTTGAGTCAGTCCATCTAAAAGATTTATCTGAAGTTGGTGGTCCTTTTCATTCTCCTTCAATGAGCGCATTCAAATGCACAACAACGTCTGGATATTCTGTTGTTCGGTAACCAAGCTAACCATGCTGCTGGTCATTCCGTGGCTCGCATTCGCTGTGGAATGCTGTTGCGGAACGTGATTGTTCGTAAGAATTACAAAACAGAGTGAAGCACTATAAAGAAAAAATCACCCCAGGAGGTTTCAAACCCAGAACGTTGCAAAGTCTTTAGTGAGAAGGGACGTGCCAGAATTTTCGGTCATCAACACATCTGGTTTGAGAGGTTTACGGCCGTGCGTATTTTTGCAGATGAAATCCTAAAATGTAGTATTCCTTCATTTTTTTTTTTTTTTTTATCGTAATCTTTTTTAGCAGAAACTTGACATGCCGCTCTCCTCAAGTAGACAAAGGAGACTCATTTCGCTTATATTTACAGTCTCTTGGTCCTTTTCCTGCGAGTGGAACAGCGTTTTTGCAGTTCAAGCGAGGACGGATTCGCCGCATTCCCGGCCTGTCATTTGATGATCATATCAGGACGCAGCTCAACCTATCAAGGTTGTAAATGGTTTCTTCAAACCCTCCACTGTAGCACGACATACAGCAGCACAAGCAACATACGGTTTTGGCGTCCGGTTGAAAACATAAAAGCCAACCTCTGTGCAACAGGCGACGCTGGAGCTCGAAGAGGTCGGCCATCTTCCAATTATCTGAGCAAAATATCAGACGTCTGATATCACCCACTGACTCAAATGCGCGATGCTATCATCGCACCGCAGTTGAAGTGATAGTATCTCACACTCTGCCTTTGCTCACCAGGTATGGTCTATGTCGCCATCTTGCACAGACAACTTATTGTGACCAATTTGAAGAACTGAGGGAGAAGGTCCCCGAGAAACCGGAATGATCTGTTTAACATTAGTACAATGAATCTGGATGATAAAATAAATGTTCAATAGTCCCTTGTAATAACGAAATTGCTTTTTCTGAATTATCGTTTATCGAAGTTAAACGTGGTCCTGAGTGAAATGCACGCATTTTGAACCTTGAACCAGATTATTTAAAGTATCGGCGGCCGACCACGCTTATTACGAAGGCCGAGGTGCCGAAGCAGGCAAGCCTACACGGAGGCAAACAGACACCCTTGCATTCCGTACCCCTTCTCCACTGAACGGCAGATAAATTCGTGAGGCTGCAATCTGAGGCATCCCAGCTTTGAAGCCGTGCAAGAAGCCAAACAAAACTACAAATAAATAAAGCCGAGGGAGGCCGCTGCGCGTCAGTTTCAATCAGCGCCACCCCATGGCGCTGTGTGTCCGCGCGCCAGCAAAAGGAATCGGCTGGCGCGCTCAGGTGGCGGCATGGCCACCCGAGTGCGCCAGCCGATTCCTGTAGCCAATTCCGTGCCACCGATTCCATGCCGCCCACAGGCACGGCCGATGTCAGTGAGGCGCGGCAACTTCACGAGGACACGCGCAGGAACGACATTCATGCTTTCACATTCACAACTCATTAGAAGTGCTTAGGTGTACCTTGAGCCTTTTTTGATGAAAAATCGGCGTTCGCTAGAATGTCGCTCGACTAATTGAGTGTCACCCCTTGGGGGTATGCAAAAAAGGTCTTCAAAATTTTGAAGAATCGGCGGAAAGGTAAGCAATCTCGGTTCTCAGTCGCCAATTCTTTAAAGCCACGACTTTGTTCTGAAAGAACATGCCCTAAAACAGCATATAGTACATCTTTTTTTCTTTGTATTCTTTAAGTGTCAATAAAGAGAACAGAGTGCTGGTTTAAAACGTGTCCAGAGTACAGTTAGCGCCATCTATAGAGCTTTCGGAGCAGAAAATGATGTCTATGTGAGTTGCGTCACAAAAGTGACGTCACGCGATAATGTCACGTGTCTGGTACGCTTCGCCTTGGGGAGGCTACGGCTGCGCACTACACGCACACGTGCGTCGTATGGGGGAGTAGGAGTGTTTACCGAGAGTTGCTTAGATCTGCGAGGTTGAGAAAAGTGGCCAGCCCAAGTCTGAAATCGCCAAATAATTCAACATTCCGACATCGGTTGTTCGACACTGTTCACCATTTTGCAGAACAAGTAAGGCATACTGGACGGGTTCGAGAAGAGTTTCTTATGCAAAAAAAAGCGTGCCCGCGACCCGAAGATGAATGATGGCCAACTGCTTTGCGCACATCAGATTTTCTCTCGCGAGCGTGCTTGCCGAGTTGATTCCCAGAGCTGCAATGATCTCTACAGGAGTGTGTGAAAATGTGTTGGCGAAGCCACCGCGGGTAGCTTTGATTCGTTCGTGCTTATTGATGCGGACATTCCCGATGTTGCTTCTGCCGTAAACACCAAGCGACATCGGAAAAACACCTCGGGAAACACCAACGACTGCGGAGTCGAGAAACATCCTACAGCTGCTTCAAAACAAAGTGGAGTGCAGCGGCGGTGACGTGTTCTTGTACTGCCTGGAGCAGTTTAAGAAATGATGCCCGGATGAAATTGTCGGCAAACTCCACTGAATATTTTTTACTTGGTAAAGCTGCCGCGAGATGTTCATTAACTACGGTTTGTTTGATGAAATATATGGTCAGAGTGCATCGCAGTATTCCCGTCCACCTTCAAGGCTGCCGGCGCCGCTTTTTTGGCTCGGTCGCTTTTATCGTATTACCACTTATATCAAATATTTTTGCCATCCCGTTGACTTCATTATAACGAGGGATTACTAAGTGGGTTATTTTTCACGACCCCCTTAATGAATTTCAGATGGCCCTGAATCTATGATGTCTGCAAAAACAGAAGCACCAAGCATTTCCCAAGTAAATTGAAAGCTGATAAGAATTTCGATCCACTTGTATATGAGCCAGATGCCTGTGCAAATCTTTATGGCTGTAGCCGCAAAGTAGTAGCCCCGAGTAGTATGTGGGTATTTATTTCTATCTTTAAATTACAACAACAGTGACGTGACTGCTGCACTATATTTGTGGCAAATTGTCACCAAAACGTAAGGAATTTGTGCCGACATTGTGTCAAACCTTAGTTTCACCTTATAAATACTGAAACTAACAGCTCAGCTGCCACAACATGGCAGGATCATTCTACTCGGTTTTAGTGAATTCTCAAAACTTTAGATTATCACTTCTAATAATGCACTATTCCATTTGACCTTTGTATCCAACACTAGCAGTACTTGGAAGTTTGCATTGTTCCTCACTGTTTGTAATCTGTCCGGGCGGCCTGCAGAAAAATTGATGTCAAGAGACCTATGCAACCAGTTTTCCCACTCACAACCTCTTAAGGGCCCCTACTATTTCTGCTGCAAGCATTAGACCACTGGCACCCTGAGGGGCAGCCTCACAGTACCACTTGCGAGGGCAGCGCAGGTCCCAAAGCCGGACGAAGGTGTCGTAGCCGCAGGACAGGAGCTCGCTGGGGGTCTCGGTGCAGACGTGGAGCACTCCTGCGCCATTGCGGTGGTCCGTGCCCAGAACCGCCACGCGGGTTCCCCTGCCCAATACAGAAAGCCCAAGAGGTCGGTCCGATATTCTAGCTAGTTTCTTCGTGGGAAATGAAAGGTAAGGCGTAAAAGACAGACCACTGGTGACCAACAACTCAAACAGATTTCGGCAGTAAAGGGGCAGTCACAGGGGGAGAGCTCTCTCGGGGAGGGACATGCGTGACGTCGGCGATCGGTAAAACCAGCGGGGCTCCCTCCCTGGCTCAAGCATTCACACGGGCAGCGGGAGACAAGAATAATATATCGGCGTTGCCGGACGCATTTAGCAGTCGCACTCTCGACAACGACGCTCGGTACGCGCTGACGAGAATAGAAAGATGGAGGCGTACATGAAACGGCGGTACGCGATTATGGCAGCAGCGCTGTTAGATACAAAAGGCGATGAATTGCATCCTGCTAATAAAAGATCCTGAGCGAAAGGTTGGACGCAACACAAAAAGAATGCGAAATCCAAAACCAGTTGTATGAGGAGCCGCTTGAGGATAGCATTGAGGACGTAAAAGAAAGGTTCAACGAGCCGACAACATGCGCAAGTCACAAGTTAGGCGATCCCCATGCCACCGCCGGTATCCCGCAGAGCACTATCTGTAAAGTTGCCAGACACGCAAACAAAATACCGCCAATTGCGAAGAGCTCCAAAAAGATCCCCCATCCCCCAGGGATGTCTATGGTGGCGCACGTTACCACGCGATGCGTATCTCAGGGAGCAAAGGGAGGGATTTCTCCCCCGAGTGAATATCCGTTTAGTCGGCACCTGTCTTCCACATTGAGCCCAATAGTGGAGGCTGGTTCACACATTTACGTCAAAGTGTGTTTGATCGCTTTGCAACCGCTTAAAACGAGAGAACACACACCGACGCCATCTATCGAGTAGCTCTGGAACACTTCCCGCCGTATATTATGCCTCATTCTTCAACCATGGGCTCCGAATAATTCTGACACCATCATCCATTTTTACAAGATTTCATCTCGCAAGCAACACAATTTTTTTAAAAATCATATTCGGGTCAAAGCAAACTTAAGTTACATATCACTGATGAGAAAGCCCCCTGTGCTGTACCGCTACACCGTGTGGAAGCAATTTCCGCAAAACGTAATCGGTGCAATTTATGATGCGTGGAACGTATGCGTTTAGAACATTTGGACAGACTTGCAGAGATCGCATTGATTAATAAAAACAAATTTTGATGTCTAACTGAAAGGAATAAGTAATTTTGATCTCAATATACAGCCCAAAGAAAAGGTGAGCAAAAGGAGCTGGTGGAGCCACCTCAGAAAACACCGCATTGTTAGTGACAAAGAAAAGCTTCGCGGCGGTTAATATTATCATCTCTTCGAGTGGCTTCTCCATGATCAAAAGAGATTGTCTGCTATTTTCCGCCATTGCTGCTATGTTTTCTTTTTGCTGTAGCCCAAGCCGAAGCTAATCCGCACAGTATCCAGGCGATAATCCCAGCAGTTCCAAGATCAAGTCGCGGATCGTTTACTCGTGATGTCACGTGATATTACCCGCTGACATAGGAGACAGGTTACTCGGGAAAGATTAGGAACATAGCCCTCGTCTCCGAGGATGCCCCTCTTTCGAGCCCCAATCTCTTCCTGGACCCCTCAAGAGTGGCGTGCTTACGTGCTCAGGTCGTAGGCCTGGAGAGGGGCAATGCCGTTGCAGCCAGCCGAGCCCGTGATGAGGAGGCATTCCGACAGGGCCACGGAGCACACGCGGTCCCACATGGGGATGCTGTACCCAAGGCTGGACACGTGGCTTTTCAAGGTCCACACCTGCAGTGCACACACAGGCCGGGCTGCTCACCTGGGCAGGTTAACGAGAGCAGGACATGCCCCTTCCACAAGGCCCTCCGACTACCAGTTTTCTCTTCTCGCCTTCTCTCCAGCTCAAGTGGAAAGAGTCGAGGGCTTTCTGGGAGGAGCTCTTAACCTGCAACCGGCGCCCTACAACCCTACCAGCACCATAACTCACGCTGCTTTCCCATGCACTGTGCAGAACATACTGTAGAGCTTGGTTTCACTTCTAGCACCCAAGGACCAATATAGATATGCCTTATTCGAAGAGATGATATATACACCATCTCTTCAAATTTTTCAGCGCAACGGGAGAGGTTTTCTTTTGACGGTGTGTGTGTGTGGTCAGAGCGTGTGAGTTATTCTTTGCACTGTCACCTTTAAGTCATGAGTAGCCAGCTCGCCTTAAGAAGAAATGTATACGCCCACCACCAAACCCAAATCCATTGTGACAAAAATCTTGCACAGTGTTCTCCCCTATTTTAATTCCAGAGTAGCTCACGAGTGCCAGAAGTGTCACGAACCGGTTGAGACTTTCTCTATAAAAAATATTGTATAGTTAAAATTTCCCGAGCGAAATTGGATGAAATGCAACGAATACGAAAGTAGGACGTAAGCATTGCCACGACTTGCTCATGCTATCAAAGGTGTTGCGCTCATGTCCACTTGAAATTATTAGAAAAGGTTAGCATTACACACTGGAAAAGCTTGCTATGCTTAGAACCCAATTCCAAATCCTCGGATGACCTCGAAGCAGTGGCGTGCACATGGAGGGTGGACCCGTAAGAACAAAGAGGAATCCAACCTTTTTCACTTTTTCCTTCCGATATTCAGCAGCGCTTCCTTCCGTCACTCCTTGTTGAGAGAGAGTAGACGAGTCTCACTACTTTCAAGGAAGGCACATATGCAGCAATTAAATCAACCAAGGGCAAACACCCTAACAATGCTCCCTTCCCTCTTGTTCTCTTTCAACATTGCACACCGCTGAGTTCAGTTCAGTTCATTGGGAAACAGACCGTCCGTCACATTCCAATTCCTCACGTGGCAACTGGTAATAGGCCCGTTCGTTACAGCCGAACATTTGTCGTAGGAAGGTTCGTCGTTGTAAGAACTCGTCGTACATAAACCCCAAGGTCGTCGTGTGTTTTGTTCTTATTGGGTCTTCTAAGAGGCTTTGTGAGGGGATCAACCTGGGTAAACCCAAACAAGGTCAGCGACAACCCAAAGTTTCACATGGTCACTATTGTGGTAGCTTACCCAGAGAAGGAAGAAATAAAGAAACTTGGCGAAATATCTAGTGAACCCGGAACAAAAGGCTCGGGGTACACCTAAGCACTTCTTATGAGTTGTGAATGTGAAAACATGCCTGTTGTTCTTCCGCTCCCTTATTTCGTCTGCCCTTATTTCGTCTGTTCGTTCACCAAAGGCCGACTGCGCGCTCTCCTCAACGCTCTGACCTTGGGCGTGGAGCCGCTGCCTCGCTTGGCGGCGAGACGTTTTGTGTTACTGGCGCGCTGGCGGCGCAGACAGGCAGCGCCATGGGGTGGCAGTCGTTGAAACTAATGCGCAGCAACCAATGGGACCGAAGACGGACGGCTTCACTTTGCTCCTTTGGGATCGGGGAAACTAGGTGCCGTTTGGCTGGGCTTTTCACCTGGCTTCGAAGCTGGGAGCCACCAAATCGCGGCTTCACTTGGAGAAAAGAGTTTAAGTGCTGCTGGGTGCGGCTTCAAAGCTGATGACATTGGCTCGCTCCATGGGACAGTTAATGCTTTCACATTAAAAAAGGTCCATTCATTGTTTCTAAAGTTGCTTCTCAACATTCTGTGTACACTTCCAGAAGGACCTATCGTCTGTAGCTCTTTTGTGTTACAGAGGTCACCAGATTTGCCAATTTGCCCAGTCCAGGATGTTTCGGGCTTGGCTGCTGGGGTTAGAATTCAGGATGTCTCCCGTTTATAAAAGAGAGATCATTTAGGCTTTCAATCTTGAAAGGGGTGTAATAACGACTGAGAGAGGAGGGGCTATGCTGCTCCCCGAGGGGATATTCCTACGCTCGTATCAAAGTCAATGAAAGAATGTTGTATGGGCCTGCCAGGAAAAGGGAACTTGTAAAACTAAAAATAGAATCAATCTTGCAAAACTCTCGCATATGAGTGAGCATACGCATGCTGCAGATCAAACCGAAACTTTGTGTTTGTCATGACATGAAGGAAAAAGCAGTATGAACCAATATGTCATTTTTATGTTCCTGAATGTTTCATTGACAATCACTTTCCTAATGAGCTTTTTTATTACAGTTGAGGGCCGCCTAGCTCCACACCCAATAATTTTAAATGCCATCAACTCTGCCACTGATGACGATGCTTCACAGATTTTTGCTGCGAAGCATTGTAGCTGACTGCAATAGGCCCTTCAGGTCATTGTCAGCCACTATCGTGATGACAGCCGTCTAGAAACAGAGGGCAGCAGCACGCAACATTGTATCTTAACATGCTGATATTTTGCCCTAATAAATGTTTCCTTTTCAAATGTGACCATGACTTGTTTGGCTCTTAATTCTATTCGCTATAAAGAGGGAGTGAGTGTGAGAAACTGATATTTGCAGTGCAAGGATTAATTGCAATCTCATGAATTCGAGGTTTATAATGCAAATTTTAATGTGACAGCAATCCCGCGTGCCCATGTAGTGTCAAGTGAATGCAAGTGCCGTCAGTCAGTGACAAATTATCCTATGTGACCAGTTGCCCTGTTACCTATTGCTGTATTACCCAAGCATCAAGGAGAATGCGGGGATTGGTGCTCCACGCGTCGCACGTGCTGGCCTCAGCAGTAGTAACTTTTCTAAAGCAAATACCTAAAACAAAGGGCATCTTGCACGCGCATTCATCAACGCTTTATTTTGGTTATTTACTTCGAATCTCTTATACGGGAAAGGCGCGCGCGTGTGGAACACCAATCCCCGCATTTTCCTTGATGCTTGGGTAATACAGCAATAGGTCTATTGGCCTATAACAAAATCCTCACATGACGAATGGGCCTACACCCCCAGCCCACCTTCCTTTCTTCCTCCTTTTCTTTGCCCCTTTCTACTTCAAACTTCTAGTGCCACGCAAGAAGCTCCATTTGTCGCCACTGCATTACCACAGCCAAGTTCAGTCACACATCAGCCCATAAAATCCTGGAGACATAGGCAGCTGCTTACTCTGCCTTTTAGTAAGTCTGACCCTGAGCACATTACTGCAGTATCACACGCACACCATCGCTGCGAAGTGTGCAGGCGGCTAAATTATTTCCATACATAAAATTGCAGATCTGTTCATGTCTACATCTCCGTAGGATTTCAAGGAGTGTGCACATTGAGTGAAAGCAAAAAAAAAAAAGACACTGCTGGATATATGGTTGCTGGACACAAAGAAAGTGGGTGGTGAGAGTAAAGCCAACGGAAATCTCAGAAAACGTCGAGAGCGCAACAGTCACTTCTCACACTGAGAAGTGACCGTTGAGGGTAATCGGGTAATCGAGTAATTCCTCAATTCACATTCTCATCAACCAATGACCTTGACTTTCTCTTATGAATTTTCTTTGGAAAGGTTTAGCACTCACAACAGGTGAACTGATCAGGCCAAATGTTGCTTATACTGTATGATGTAACATCAATTATCAAGGATAACTAAGATTAAGACTGGGCATAACTTGCCTGAAAAGTGAAGCAGCTCTCAGGTGTTTAAAAGTCGACCTTAGTTTTCTCTATTGATATTCACCTACAAAATGTACCGTAATGCCGAATAGTAATCCCATGCTGTTCTCTCCGCCTAAAAATTCTTTTCTTTACTGTCTTAATCCACTCCCTAAAAATTGCCAACTGCCTGGGTAATGAGATAATGATTCTAGCTTACTTCCAAATGCACACAATCACATAACTACTACCGTAAAATCTCGTATGATTGCCCGTCCTGAGAGACTGCCCATCCCGTTATATGAGGTGAATATCCATAACATAAAAATTCTGAAACATCGCCCAACCCTTGATTTCCGCCGTATATCGAACACGCAATGTCCGACGGGAATCCCCTGAACCGTGCAATCTGCGGTACCGCTGCGTGTGATAAGTATGTTCACAGTGGATTCCCTCATGTTTATAGCACCGTGACAAGCGAATCTGCTGCGTCCACCATCAGCGGTATCCGTTCCCGTAACATGCAAGTTCATAGCTCATTCCCGCATTTTTCTTTTTCTGTCCGTGACTTGCGCACTGTCGGCTCCAGTGATACGCGAGTGTATGGCGGTTTTCCGCGTGTTTATCGCGTATCTCCTGCATCTGCAATCTGCCGTATCCACACCCGTGACATGCAAGTTCGTAGCAGGTCCTCGTGCTTTCGTCTGCGATCTGCGTGCGCTATATTGTTTCCCGAATACCCGCTTGTAGCGGGTTCTCATGTGTTTATTGCAGTGTGAAGTGCAAACCTGCTCCGTCTGCAATCTGAGGCACCTGTTCCTCTGATGGGAGGTCAAAGCTACTTCCTGCACGTTTATTACACCGTGAAACAGGAATTTGCCATGTCTGTAATCTTTGGTATCAGTTCCAGTTTCTCGTGGTTTGTAGCGGGAGCCCTGGCGTTTATCACTAATTTTTAATAAAATTTTGCCGTCACATCCCCAAAGATCGCCCACCCCATATTTGCCCCCATTTATCTCTTCATTCTGGGTAGGCATTCTTACGGGATTTTACGGTATATTTGTGCAGGATGAGATAATAGAATGGTGCCTTTTATACATATCTACACTCGTTTTCACTTCAAGAACCGTAGTAACAATAGTCTGGCTCCTCGCGTAGCATTACTAATTTCCCGCTTTACCTGGAGAACTAAGATATCTATAGATGCATTTTAGATTAGATATATGTTATCTTATCAAGACATACACCTTTCAAACGCCAAAAGCATCGCTTCTTCCTCCGACAACCAAGTCTTTTAAGAACTACCTCGCGCGGCGTACGAACAATGTGTAAAACTTCCTTTTTTTCTTGAGGAGAAAATGAGTATAGTTTTTAATAGTTTAATTTTTCCTCAATATTCTCCATCCATGAAGAAAACATTTTGTGCTGCTACTGTTGCACCATTGCTTTCACAATAAATTAGCACCGATGACTGGAGGCTTCGTGCCCTCGAACTGCGTACACTAAAAATCTTTGCCCGTATTGCTAGAGTTTTCTGCTAAGTGAGCTGCATTCTGTCTACGTGAATTCAAATGAATAAATCAAAATCTAAACACCTTCCTTGCTACAAATACCGGATTGCATTTCTTTCACATATCATTCCAAAACCAATGTGAAAACATTATTTTAATTATTCAAAGCACTATTTTTGCCAAAAAAAAAACCTAAAAAAAGAAAAAAGAATTGTGACAAAAAAAAAATGAAAGCCGTTTACAACTAACGCCGGATTAGAGCGCAGCTCTTGAGGGGGAAGATGGAAGGGTACAGAGGGATAGGTGACTTCCTGAGGTCACGTGACCTCAGGGGGGGGGGGGGGGGGGGGGGGGGTGACGTGAGAGTAACTCTCATAACCCTCGTGACCATCATGAGAGTAACCCCCGTAACCCTCATGAGGGTAACACTCGTGACCCTCGTAACCCTCACGAGGGTAACCCTCGTGACGTCATTATGGAAAACTTCCCATAATGCAACGCACGGTTACGCCGACGCCGACGTCGCTCAAGCTGGAAACGGGCGCCTAAGAGCTGCGCTCTGGAAAATATGTGGCAGTGAGGGCAAAATATTTCAGCCTCCCCTGCCTCGAAAACATGAGATATGCCCGGCTCCTCGACCCTTGTTTACCCTCTTTCAAGCTATCTGAGCTCAACAGCTGTGGCAATGACACTGAGTCGACTGAATAGAGCAGGACCTTGACCGTCCTGTCCCGGGATCCTGTGACCACCACGTTCTGGGTGTAGTCGACGCAGCTGATGGCCTTGCTGCTGCAGCGCCAGCGGCAGTGCAGAAGTGCCCCCTGTGCAGCAGTCCAGATGCACAAGGAGCCGTCACTGCAATCCCAGCACAAGGGCCTCCTTAGCTCATTGGCAGCTTACACGGCATCCATCATTATGAGACGGGAAGGGTCATTCAAGGCCTAATGAAAAGCACTAACAAAGTCATGCAAGAGCTAAGACGCTGCTGCCCGATGGTCTTGGTTTTATAAGAAAGGGCAGTAATTAGAACTCTTTTGCCCTTCCCTCCGTTGGAGACCTAAGAAATAGCAAATAGACTGAAACCGCATTTGCAAAGTGCCCATTTCCTCATAAAGCATTTACTGCCGCTACAGCTGGGCTGGACAGTGCCAAATACAGACGTGGAATGGGCAGGTTGGTACCACAAAACAGAAAGGCTGAGTGCACATGGCACTTGACTTGGGGCTGTTTTCTGTTGGTGTTCAACATTAGTGGCAAAGAATGTCAACCGATATTCTGAGGTTCCCCCAGGGATTCCTCTTCCCAGAATCTACAGTCTTTTTTTTCTGCCAACTAATTAACATTTCAACAAGAAAAACTTGACCTACGATTCCGCGTATTAAAATGCTTGCAGTTGGGGTAAAAATTCAATATAAGCGTTCACTTTCAACTCTTTCCGTATCACACCTGTAGGCAGTCCATCGCCCGTGATCCATAATTACTGTGTGCTGCCAAAATTCGAATTTGACATGCAGGAACGCACTGCACTGCCTCATGAAAAGTTTAAGAATTACAGTTTTGGTTTCTCTTTGGCTTTGCACTTTCTCATAAGCTGGCTGAGTTATCAGAAATATAGCGCACGGTGGTAACACTTGACAAATATGGCGTACTGCTGGTATTGGAGACTGCTGCAAAGACTGCCCCAATTGCGCGGTTTAACTGCATTTGCTGCTTGTGTTTTGGATAAAAGGAACAGTGAGGTCTGTAGATGATGCTGGATCCTTTAATTTGAGCTCAGACAGCAATGATTTATCTCCGAGGCCCGTAATATTGACAGGTGCTTGTCAGAGAGTGTTGTTCTAGCTTTCCAAGCTGTACTGGGCCAGGGCATGTTTTATATGTGCTACTAGCCATAAAAAATGCATGAGAGGAAGAATTCCAAGCAGTGCTGTCTTGTGCCAAAAAAAAAAAAAAATGTGTTCTGGCAGATCTCTGCATGCAACAGCTTCCCCAAATGGCACGGTGCCACGAAACCACACTTGCGGATGGACCCAAAGCAAAAAGACAAGCTAGAGCACCATAACTTACATAATTGATAGTGGTGGATATGGTGCATATTTTGTACATTTAGGATTTTTTAAAATTCATTGCATGATTCGTAGTGAAGCCAAAAAATGTTTAATCTTTTTGTTCTCATTTTTACATCCACTCCAAGTTGAACAATTCAATTTGGAAAACTTTTTCCATCCATTAATGCCCGGGGGGGCGTTCTTCAGTCTCGATTACCTGCCTTGATTGATAGCCGAAGAGCCTCTGCCTGTCTCGTCATTAATGCGATAAAGCAGTTGTGGAGAGCACAGACCTCGTAAACTTGTAAATAGTGCTCAAACTGGTAAAACCCTCCGGCATTCAGGTGCTCGAGGAGCCCAAAAGGGGAAGCCCCGGGTTCCTAGGGGGCCCAGTTTGAGTGGAAGTTTTCGTTCCTTCCAAAGGGCAACTTCTTTACTGCATCTTCGTGTATCACAAAATTGTTTGCCCCGGACCCTCAGGACAGAACTAGGGCCCTGCTCCTAAGGTGTTGGCAAGGAGAATTGAGCGCAATGGCACAGTGTAAAAGTTTGTTCAAACACTTCCGTTTGCTTAGGACCGAGCTCTTGCGCTCTCTTACGATGATTGAACACACTGGCACGCTGGCACCCTCTGTGAGCTGACCCTGGAACTGCATTTCACTAGAGCCAAGCTTTTCCAGCATTTGCGAGATCAGATAAATGTACTATCACGAGAAATCGTCGTTTATAACATTGTGATTTAAGAACCAAAAAAAAAAGAAAGGAATTTTAGAAGAACCAAGCGTTTGACACGATAGATGGTGCCAGCATGTTCTCTCGCCGCAAGAGAAGAGGCGCACGGTCGTAAGCGGTTGCAAGTAGTGACTCGAGGGGCAAACCAAGGGCACCTCACTTTCCGCCACTCACAACCAGTCCTCCCTTGCAGACAAAGCGGCCGACGTCGTCCGAGTGGCCGCGCAGCGTCAGGCTCGGCTGCTCGGCCACGCTGCCGTCTGCCAGCCGCACCAGCCTGAGGATGGCTGAGCCCCTGCTGTACCAGAGGGCGTCCCTCTCCAGCTGCAGCCACGGCATGTACCTGGCAAGGGTGCACTGTCGGTCCACCAGGTCCCAACGCCTCACGGCACCATGCCACCAAACGTGCTTCACTCGCACTTTAAGGGTGCATTTTCAACGACATTATATTTAGGTACACCAACATCTCGAGAATATTTCCACAAAGATTTATTCATTTCTGCTGCAAGGTTAATTCGCTATTAATTATTTTCGGTGCCTCGGTGCTATAAAAAGATAGAGATCTCGACACTTTGCGTGCATATTTCTTCATTCCATGCTTTCAGCATAAATTTCGTTTTAGTCAATCGATCGTTTCTTAATAGGACTAAAGGAAAGGTTCATTCTTCGTTTTTCCTAACTGATAATTAATGAGGAATGTGGCTCTTGAATTATTTTTGTACTCTATCAATATCTTTCATAAAAAAATATTAAAACTTTCTCAAGGACACAGAAGGCATAAAACGTATTGCAAAACAATCTTGGTATTAAAATAAATGACTTTTTACAAACTCCCTTTCACAGTCCCACCCTCTTGACATTCTGCTCTGCATCTGACAAGAAAGAATGCTGAACACTGCATTATTTTGCAGTGTTCAGCTGGATTTTAATTTAAGCATGATGCAACAGTAGTGAAAGGCTCAAAGAAACTATTCTATATTCAATTAGAAATTATTCAGCCAAAACCACTATTTGCTTCAAACGAAAACCCACTATTCGCACATGCCTACAAAAATTTTATGTCTCTATTTCTCTTCTGGTCTCCTTAATTGGCCATGCAACAATATGGAGTGAATTTTTTCTTACATTACACATGCTTACTGGCACTAGTGTAGTATTCCAGGTATACTTACACATACGCCACTGACCCAGGAGCTTCTTTGTTGTGGTGAAATTTCAAGGATAAAAGCTAACTATTTCTTTCAGTCTCTCCTTTGCATAACTTAATGACATAGAGGGGACTCCCCCATGATGACGAGAGCTGAATGCAGCTCAAGAATTGGACACGAGCACAGCATAAGCACTTGACTTGGGCTCGTAACAATCAACACCTTGTAAAAATTTCGGTAGTGGCTCGTGTCCAATTGCTGTGGTGACTGGAACGGCCAAACTCTAACGAAGTCTGGAGCTCAGCACGTGCCCTGTGCTTGACCGAACTCAGCACATAGCTACGATTAACATTGGTGGCACAGGGGATTTGTGGCCTGGAAGGCTGAGCAGCCACACCTTGCTCATCTGATCTTGCAGGTGAGAGCTTTCGCCCTAGTTACACTCTCATGTACCGTAAAAACCCGCGTATAGCCCGGGTTTTTTTTCTAAATTTTAGGGTGTGAAATTTCGGCCCCGTACTATATGCAGATCTCAAAACTTTTCGGCCCGAATTCACAGTTTTGGTTTGGGTTTCGGCATTGGGCAGTGCTATCATCATCATTAGGTGTCTGCGGCTTCTGCGTTAGGTAGGGTTAGCGGCGATAGTCCTAGAGACCTACAGAACAGGCGTGCAACAGCGGCCATTGCAATCACTTGGCGCACATCACAACGGCCACAATTTCCTGTGATTTTACACCATGTCAGGACAGCGCAGGCAGTACTCGGCTGCCTTTAAAAGAAAAGTTATTTCTGCTGCCGAAACCATCGGCAACTGTGCTGCGGAGCGGCAGTTCGGTGTGAATGAGCGGAGCATTCGCGGTTGGCGGAACCAGAAGGAAGCCCTTTTTGCATGCACCGGCCAGAGAAAAAGTTTCCGGGGACCGAAAAATGGAGCGTTTCCCGAAGTGGAACGAGAACTGACGGACTTTGTTCGGGAGCAACGAGCTGCACATCTCGCAGTGAACATCAAGCTGCTGCAAGCAAAGGCAAGGGAGATCGCTCGAGACAAAGGCATTCAGCGGGCGGACTTCAAGGCAAGCAAGCATTGGGTGTCTCGCTTCATGCGCCGCACTGGGTTCTCCCTACGTCGGCGTACTTCGATCTCGCAGAAGCTGCCAGAAAGCTACGAAGAGCTGCTTGTGGCTTTTCAGAAGCACGTGATTTCTTTGCGAAAGGCAGTCCTTCAGTTGGGCCAGATCGGCAATGCTGACCAGACGCCGGTGTACCTCGAAATGCCCTCGGCTCTAACGGTGCATCAAAAAGGCTCCAGGCAAGTTACCGTGCGATCAACTAGGAACGAGAAAACGCGGGTAACTGTAATGTTGTCCTGCACGGCAGACGGTCGCAAGCTGCCACCCTACGTGGTGTTCAAATGAAAGACGCTGCCGAAGGGGGAGAAGTTCCCAAAAAATGTTGTCATCCGCTGCCAGGACAAGGGGTGGATGGACGAATCGCTAGTGCAGGACTGGATAAAGTCCGTGTGATGTCGACGGCCCGGAGCACTGCTGGGGTTCCCATCGATGCTTGTGCTCGACGCGTTTCGGTGTCATCTGGCGGACTCCGTGAAGTGACTGCTGCGCGACTCCCGCACCAAGCTCGTCGTCATCCCGGGAGGGATGACATCCCAGCTGCAGCCACTTGATGTGTGCATTAATAAGCCGTTTAAAGGGCAACTCCGCTCAATTCCGAAAAATTTAGGCTTCCTTGTGATTCACATTCACAAAGCACTACTAAACAACTCTACGTCTTCGGATTCGCGAAATGTGGAATATTATTTGTGTAATCCTAATTTAAACATCAGCAGATACCGAAACCGAAACTTCGGTTGCGTCAGGCAACATCGGTCTCGGGTTGTCAGAGGCATGGCACGTCACGTCGAACCACGTGGTCTTGTGACGTTCGGGAGGGAGCGAAAAACAGGACACGCGACGCGGGCAGGTTTTTCTTTTTTTTTTTTTTTGTTTTTTTTTTTATTTGACGCGGGCAGGTCGCTTCGCGTGGCGTGGACGGTGATGGCCTGGGGGAGAGGGGGAAGGGGACAAGACGAAAGAGAAGGGGAGCGGAGAAACAGACCGATAAGCGCGCAGGGCAGCCCAAACTAGCGCATCCGCGTTACGGCGATCACGTGGACGCCCGATCAGCCAACACCGGGAGGAGAAACTCATGACGTCATCGTTCAATTTCGCTCTGAGAAGTAAAAACAAGCAAAACGTGAGAATGACGTATCATGCCTCTGACGTAGTGGCTCAACGTTGGCCGCTCCAACTCCGTGGCATTGACTGCGCTGATGATTGCGCCTCGCGCCGCACGCTAGAGTTGGCAGATTTCGGCGACTTGGCTCGCTTGAAGGTTTGCTGGCCAGTTTATTAAATAAATAAACGGAATTAGATCGCAATATTTGACGTGGGGTCTTCCTATATGATACTGAAGAGGGCTACATAGTTTTCTAAATATCAAAAATGAAGCGGAGTTGCCCTTTAAGGACCACATCAGGCGCCTGTATATGGAGTGGATGAGGTCCGGAGAGCCGGAAGTGACCCCTGCCGGACGGCTGAAACGGGCCTCGCTAGCTCTGCTCTGCGCATGGATCGCCGAGGCGTGGGCCTGCATTCCCGAGGCGCTGGTTTGTCGTGCCTTTAAAAAGTGCTCCATTTCAAACGCGCTTGATGGCACGGAGGATGAGGTGCTGTGGGAGGACATTTCCGACAAGGGAACTTCGGAAGAGAGTGCGTCAGACGAGGACGACGAATAAGGTGTAATGTAAATAAATGCATTTTTCTGTTTTTCTTGAACTATATTCGCGTGAAAACGTTTTTTCTCGCGTTTTCTATCCCCGAATTACACTTCGGACTATATGCGGGTCCGAACTATACGCGGGTTTTTACGGTATTTTGACACCGAAGTGTTGTGGGTGTTAATCTGTCTGTTTACCACGCTAGTATAGGATGTTTTTCCCACTTTCATTCTCAAGAAAGAAGCAAGCACTATCTCCTACCACGCTCGTATAGGATTTTTTTCCCACTTTCGTTCTCAAGAAAGAGGCAAGCACTATCTCTTTGTACCGAGGGCATTGACGCTCATTCCTAGAGCCCACGTGTTGTTTGCTGTTTTTGTGCAGCCTTTCGATCCTTGCTGGGGATGTGGAGCGGAACCCCAGACCTAGGGATCTGGAAAAGCTTGAGGGCACACTTGACATACTTGTGCAGTCCACACAGCGGTATCAACTCGAAAATGCGAGTAAGCTCTCTAGTTTTGCGGATGGTGTAATAAGTCTGACGGAAAGGGTGACTCAACTGGAAAATAAACTTGAGGACATATCATGTGCTCAAGACAGCATTGTCGCTGTCAAAGCAAAAATGGTTGCACTTAAAAATGACGTCAAATTGATCGCTGCTACCCGTAAAAACTTGTGCAGTGCACCAAGCGGTTTGGATTCACTGGGCAACGCTGGGAGAACTTGATATATAAGGGTACTCCCGATGAAGATAAGGAATCTTGGAACAGATTGCAATGGACTTATCAAACTCAGCTAAACACAGAGGTGGGCAAAATTGATAGGGCACACCGGCTGGGAAGAAAGTGACTGGACTACTCCTGACCCATCATTGCTAAGTTCCGAAGTTTCAAAATACAACAGGAAATCCTTGACTTGCATCTGGACTTACACAATTAACAACCTTACGAATCTGGATAGATGAGGATTTTTCACCTGACGTTCATTATACTCGAGAAAAGCTTTTGGGAATTCGCGGCAAGCCTTATCGACTGGATCAGAAGCGCATACACCTGGTTTTTCATAAGCTCGTTATTGACAACCGGATGTCCCCATGCAACGCCGAGTCAGATGATATGATCAAACAGGAAAGGAATAATGTACCGGTTACAAGGGACCCATGCTGTCACATAAGGGAGTACCTTACTGGGAATGTGTCTTTTTTTGTTGCCAATTTTAGGAGCCTCCTTTAAAAACAAGATGAATTTTCGAGTTTGGGTCAATATCTGTAACCCTCACTTCATTCTGGGAACAGGAACATGGCTTTCCAGTGAAACTGAAAACCAAGAGCTTGTGCTTGATAAAGATTGCTTGATTTATTGGAAAAGTAGATTACATTCAAGAGGTGGGGGTGCACTCATCGCTGTTAAAAAGTGTTTTCACTCTGCTCTTGAAGAATTGAAAATGAAAACTGATATCGGAATAATCTGGGTTCATGTTAAAGTTTCCTTTTTTTTATGTTCTTGTCGGTGCATACTAAAAAAGGCCACATGTATTTGTCTTTATCATGTGATCACTTGCTACCCAAGGGGTGATTTTCTAGTGATGTGGGTCCCGGCAGCTAAAATCCCTAAAAGAATTTTCCGGTCACATGACCGGCTTCATGGGGACAATTATAACTACATAATTAACGATGTGATCTAGAAAAAGTAAATAAATACAAATATTTCTGCATTTCTTTCATTTTTTTCTGACTGTTTTAGAAGCTGAGAGCTAATTTACCTCCATGAAATAGGTGTAATATATCCAGTCTTGCATTCATTCACATTTATTTTAATGTGTCCCTCCCCTCCCCTCTCCCCCCTCTTTTTTTAAAGAGTGGTTACTTCTTCCCGCTCACTGCAACATTTCTAGACAAGATCATTCTCATAAAATTGGCCTGTCAAAGACTAATAAATTTTGAAACTCCCCATTACATATAAAACTGCTGACAAAATAAAATGCAAATAAGCTTGTGAATTGCAATTTTTCTGTCATCCGGCATGTGTGCAGAAGTGTTTTTATGATTGCTGACATCACCATCTTTTTTCTAATTCTGTATGTGGAAATAGGCTATTCTTGAAAGTTATATAATAAGTGACTTTTTGTACATATGCAAATGTCCTTTTCCTTGAGTGTTCAATTGCTATTCATTTAATACACATGTCGTTTTAAAGGGCTACTGAAAAAAAAGTCTGGTTGGGACACGCTAATCAAGTAAATTTTACGCGAAACAAAATTTTTTTTAGAGCAATAAAGACTACTTGCTAAATCCTCGAAGCACCCGGCCCGCACTCAAGTAATTATGGGGGAATGGAGTTCCTTCAGCTCCCTCGTGCTTGGAAATTCCAACCACTTCTATGGTTACAGAGTTTTGAGTGTAATCCAGAGTCACCCTGAACAAGCATCGTATAGAGCCCAAGGACCTGTCATATCACTTCTCGTCAATGTCAGCATTTTCAATTCTGTGCATGCTGTCCACCCTTCAACATGGCTGAGCTGCAGAAATCTCTTACATTATTATCATTCTCGTACAGCTTGCTCGTATGCTGGTATTAAGTTCGAAACGCTAAAAATGCTATGAACAGCCCCGCTGAGTCCTAGCTAAATCCTCGTTTTGGTTGTTGTGAACTCTCGGCTTTTTAAGCAATTCCTGCTAAAACAACGCTCACAAGAATGATAATATTGTAAGAGATTTCTGCAGCGCAGCCAGGTTTAAAGGTGGATTGCATGCACATAATCAAAAACACTGATATTGACGAGAAATTTTGAAAGTGATATGACAGGTCCTTCGGCTCTATCCGACGCTTGTTCATGGTGACTCTGAATTACGCTCAAAACTGTGTAATTATGAAATTGGTCGAAATTACCGATCAGTAGGGAGCTGAAGGAACACCGTTCCCATAATTCCTCGAGTGCGGGCCGGGGCACTTGGGGGATTTAGTAAATGGTCTATTGATGGCACGAGATTTATTTCAAATTCTGCGCGCAAAGTTTATAAAGTCACGGAATGGTCATACGCTCTTTCCACCTCAACAAGATGGTTATACACTCACTCCACCTCAACGTGATGGCTGAGCCGATCCACTTCTCGTCCACGTGCCCGAAATGCTGAGAGAGAAGACAAGGGGAAAGGAGGTGACTACCGACTGAATCGCGTCCTCGCGCCGTCAATATTGCTCTAAAAAAATTTTTTTTTTTTTTCCGTGAAATGTATTTTTTGACACTCTGTTTAAAGGACCTGTGCAACAGTTTCAGTGCTTTGGGAGTTGGTGTCTCAACCTTTCTGAAGCAAAGAACAAAAAACCGCTTTTGCCTGCATGTCCTAGTTTTTATTTTAAGAATGAACAAAGATTGGGGTTTTCGGCACCTCTCAATTCCTTCACCATCTTCCGAGTCATGTGCACTGTGACATCAATGGGGGTGGCGCGGGGTTCCAGTGAAGCTCTCTCTCTAGAGCCATCAGTGAGCAGCGAGAACTCATCCGCTCGCGACCGCGTGACCACAGGCTGGCGAGCGCAGCGCGAACAATATGGTGAAAGGAGGTATGTCTCATCCGGGTCCAGCCATACCATCTGGCTCTGTTCCCCTCCCCCTCCGGCATCTGGCGGCTGTTTGTAGTAGCAGATAGAGCTGACGGTTTTGTGGACCTAGGATAGATGGCGCCACTAAAACTGCGCATCATAAAAATTTTGTCGATGACACCAGGTTTTTGACGCATATTTATATTTATGTTGGAACGACGAGATTAATAGAAAAGTTACCTTTTATGAAGCAGGTATTTGCACTACTTGTTATCTTTCTACAAGACCCCCATTGACGTCACGCCGCGTGTTTCTCATGGCCGCCGCTCGCGGCTGCAGGTCAAGGAATATTCAAATTTTTGCCTCGCGATTATGTGGCGGAATCGCAACATTTCGAAGGAAGGAGAGGTGTTTTCTGTCCTTTGTGACAAGATGAACAATGTCAAAACTAGAAGATGCCAATTCTTTCAATGTTAAAATCGTTGCACAGCTCCTTTAAATTGTTAAAAAAAAAAAGAAAACATTTTTTTCTTTTCAGTGGCTTTCCGGTTAGGTAGTCATACACTGTGTTTGAGAGAGGACAGGGCTGTGTGAAGAAACATAGGAACCCTCCAATTGGCTGCGTCGGGGAAGTTGTGTACAAAATTCCGTTCGATGTTGGGCTCTGCTACGTGGGCCAGATGAGGTCGGTGCGTAAATGACCGCCTCTTAGAACACGAGAAATGTCTCTCTATCATCTGAACTAGCCAAACATATTGCCGAATGTAATGTGTGCTCACCATTATGGGAAGAAACCTCAATCTTGTGTAAAGAAAGTGATTCATTTAAAAGAAAGGAAATTTGAGTAAAGGGACCATAGAAATTGTGTGAGCTTATAGACGCAAAAAAGTTCCTTCTGCTGTGAGTTGTTTGTTGTTAGGGGTCTAAGGAGTGCTGTCTTTCGCTCGGTGCACATAGCCTTGACGGGGATTATCATGGCGGGTGTCTGCTCTTGGTGCGCTGTCCAAGTTGAGGCTCAGTCTGTCTGGCTGGCCGAGTTCTGTCAAAACTATGCGGCAGCCTGTCCGTATGAACAGCTATATATTGCTGTTGTTTCGCGAAGAAACCCAGCTATGTTTGAAATTATGTGTCATTTTGTGGGTTATTTTATATCTTTCAGGGTTTAGATTATGATGTTTCCTGACCAGCTCGCCTACACTATTTTGCTTCTTGCAACTGGAACTTAGCTGCCCTTGTCTTTAAAACACTAGGAAACATCAAATCCTAAAACTTGTCATAGATACTTGAACTATAATTCTTGGTGATCCGATTGAGTGAACACAAGAATAAAATAAAAGAGAACACTACGATAAACAGAGCTGGAACATAGAAATTCACAGTGCTCAAGAAGTCAAAGAGGGAGCATAATTTTATAAAAAAAGAGAATGTCCCGCAATAGCCTTCCACTACAAAACTTCTCCAGGGGCAGTCGTTTAAGGGGTGATGCAAACATCCAGTGTAAGATAGCGCCTGTCAGATATCTTCCGGTTCTAGCCTTCAACACATAGTTACACCACCTATTCTACCACTTCCAGCCTGAATACATGACCTGTGTCGATTGTCGCACGTGCTTATTTTTTCTTTCTTCCTAGTTAAAGGGGCCGTGCAACAGTGTTTGGACATCGGTCAAATAATTGTGGTAGTGGTTCCCTGTCATGTCTGGATTAACAAACTGAAAACAAATTTTGCCTATGCATGTTAGTTCTTTAGAAAAAAAAAAGTCAAACAATTGATATTTTCGGCGCCTCCAAACCACCCTCAATTCGTAGACCTTTTTGCGAGTCACGTGCGCAGTGATGCGCAATGGGGATAGGGAAGATCCGGTTAGGGTCTCTTTCTTGGCGACCTTGAAAAATGGTCCAAGCGATGTGGAGAGGGGGAGGGGGGAGAGAGCAAAGAGCCTGCCTTTTCGTAAAGAAGTTCAACTGACATAGAAGCACAACATATGTGAGGCTCAAGAGAGGAATAGTCTTTTTCACCTCGGGCAATGGCGTCACCAAAACTAAACATAGTACAACCCTGTCGATTATACGAGGTTTTTGACGCATTTACTAATGTTGAAACAACAATATTTATCAAATATAGCATTACCGGGTGTCTCAGATAGCGGCCAGGCTCTTTAAATCAACCGCAAAAATCAGTTTCTTAACCTATCGCGCTATGATTTTGTGCAGCGTTGCCCACAGGTGGTGCATTTTTTCTATAAAATTTGCAAAGAGCGAATTTACCTGAGGAAAAAGTAAAAAAAGAAAAAGGCTCAACTCCTATGGAAATGCAGTGAAAAAAACCGGTCTTCAAACAAGAGATGGAGACAAGAGATGGAGAAAGCGGTCGTGACGCTAACTGTTGCCAACGGACGAGCATATGGCGCCGAGAGCCAGCAACAAATAGCAGACAATATTACTTATTCAAAAGCGGCACGAGTTTTTTTGATGTCAGTTGCCAATGCATGATTTTATTATCCTTACTAATAAAACACATTAAATGTGCACATAATCGATTAAAAAATAATTTGTCGAGTTATTTTGACTGCGTTTTTTTTTTTTCTTTCTCGGGGTACTCATGTCGTCTGCTTTGCAGTTCCTTGTTGTTACCGCGCCTGTTTTTGGTTCTGCGACTGTCGCCACCTGCACTTTTGAGTCGAAAAAATTGTCTGCTAATACGCTGGCTCTCGGCGCCGTATGCTCGCTCGTTAACTGCAGTTGGCGTCGCGACCGCTTGCGCCATCTCTTGCCTCCTGTGCCAAACGGCGTCCTATTGATTAAAGACCGGTGGCTTCGCTGCTTTTCTATAGGAGTTAAGCCTTTTTCTTTTTTTACTTTTTCCTCAGGCAAGTTCGCTCTCCGCAAATTTTATAGAAAAAATGCACCACCTGTAGGCTAGGTAGCTCAAAATTGTTTGTGCGATACGTTAATAAACCGATTTTTGCGGTAAATTTGAAAAGCCTGGCCGCTATTTGAGACAACCTGCAGATTCAGCACATAATGGCGCATCTTGCAAACTTATTACATTATACCCATTGCATGTCACACCGCAAATCGCGAAATATTCCTGTTCTTTTCTTTAAATAAGGCAACGGAATCGCAATATTTCAAAAGACTAAGGCGGTATCTCCATTCCCTTTGGTAAGATAAACAACGTAAATATTTAAAAGTGCAAATTCTTTCAAAGTTAAAATTGTTGCAGTGCCCCTTTAACCTTCTTGACAAGTTTCATGTTCCCCGTTGGAGTGACAAACCTGTCATTATGCCAAGGGATGAAAAAGACTGCTATAAGTGATAATGACGTCTCCAACACTTTGTCACACGACTGGAATAGAACGATTTGAAGCAACTTAGCGTTTATGAGAAAGCTCTTCTCCCACTTTTGCTCACTTGCAGCTTTCTCCTTCCCTCGCACAATGGCAGCTTTGTCTGTCCCCTGCTGGAGGCCAGCGTGGGCACAGAGACGAGTGCTGCATTCGGTCGATCATGTCTTCCATCAACACTCATGCCGTGCTGCTGGCTCTGCTCTCAGTGTTAAGGGGGCCTCCCCAAGCCCCACCCATAGAAGAGCCTCTGCCTTATTACGGGCCAGCGACATCAATACTAATCAAAATTGTACATCAGTTTTTTACAACCCGCTGTTTCCGGAGGCTGAGAAACTCAACAATGTGAAACAAACATTGTACAACCTTTGGCAGTGTATATGCTGGGCAGCAGTGCAGAGCTGTGATAAGCATACTGAGACTCCTGTGTTTAGTTCCATTCGATGTGGGCTATGGTGCGCGATGCAACGTGCCAGGCACAGGGAGTGGGTCCTGAGCTCATGCATTCAACACTCACATGGTGTAGTGCTGCAGAAGCACCTTTTCGTCGTAGCGGCCCGTCTGCCAGCGGACGGACTGCCAGCACTTGTCCACTGCTTCGAGCACATGCCGGGAGCTGCAACAAACACCAACAAGGTTGAAACCTTCAATACAAGCGAGGTGCAGCTGAGAGCCAGTTTTACACATCGTAAAACTTTACGAACTTTCGGTTCCATTTCAGTTTCGACAGGAAAGCTATCTAAATAGGATTTCCATGGTGCATCGAGGGGCGCTCTAGTGTGAAAAACCCCGGCTGCCCGAAGCCGTTTTGTACGGCAGAAGGGCGTGCAGATGCTCTTGGTAAACGGGTTCGAGGAACAGTTGGTCGTGCGAGGGACGGCGTACGAGCGGACTTACCGCTGCACGATCCTCCTGTCATGCTGGTTGGTGGCGACCACATTCTTGCTCCGCTGATTCCAGATGTAGCTCTGCTTTAGGAAGACATTGAAACGCCTGCAGACGCAGCTAAGCCGTCCCAACGTCTGCACGTCGCAGTACGAGAACACGACGTACAAAACGTCAGGTGGGAGCAATGCAAACGCATCGGCCGTGTATGACATTTCGGGCAGCGTCCGAACCACGCAGGGGCGAAGGGACAGAACAAGCGTGCGATGAAGTGATCGTGGTCTTGGCGTTTCGTTCGGTGATTTTCATTTTCTTACGGGCTTGGTTTTAGACGAGAATTCTGATAAATTTTGACATTTTTAAAACACCGAATCGTACCTCGGAGGGGGCCTTGAGAAGCTCTGTTGAGGGGAAGGGGGACTGGCAATAGGAGAGCCTGTATAACAGAGTCAACAGAGTTTCCAACTGCTCGCTTGGGGTCACGTGTGTTATGGCACCACATTTAAGGGTGACAACAATAATACTGGGGGTATACAGGACACACTCCTATTTGCATGACAGAACGACAGCCGCGTCATTAACCACCACTGGTGTAGTGGTTTAATAATAATAATAATAATATTCATAAACTTTATTCAACCCCTTCCTCCTGCCTCCTGGCACGCGAAAACCTCCTCGCCACGCGAAAACGCAGCGTATGAGCACTTGCGACCGTTGCTTGCGACCGATCGCCGCAGAAAGGGTGTGGGGTGGTGGGAGGTGGTGTCTCATGGTATCCACCTATGGTGTCCAAATAACTCTAAGGGTGTCCACCACAGGTCCCACAGGTGGTGTCCGCCATTAAATTGCAAGATCTCTTGAGATATGCTTGAAATGGACCGTCTCTTCAATCTAGGCTCTCTATGGCTGGGGCCGACGCGGCGACACCATGCGACCTCGCCTGAGGGAGCGGCGTCGCGGCGTTAGCAACGACGCGTGACTGGCAATACACACTACAAATAAACATTTAACTTTACGTCCGTTCTTAATGTTTGTTTAATTATTCTGGTTATACGTGCAATTTAGCTACACGTGTCGCATAGTCCCTCTTTTGGGCTTCTCCGACATATCGAATCTGCCAACATTGTGCACTTGTTGATTTTTATTGAAACCGCCGCTCGCCGCGACCGTCGTACGCTGACGTCTGCTGTTCCTGGCTGTTCCCGACGATGGCCAGCATAGCCGGGCTTTGGCGAGCAAACGTCAAAAATTCGGCGAGTTACGCGAACATCGAGAAGGCATTAGTTCAAGAAGTGGTGAAGGCAGACCTTCGGGTGAAGTCGTGCATACAGGTTGGTGCCTACGACAGTCGCCCGTGTTGTCAGCCGACATCAAACGAGTCGAGCACGATCGTCCTCGCAGCTTGTGCCAAGCTCGATGGAATAAACAGAGTTTCCACTGAACTCTGTCAATCTGAACGGTAGCAGTACTAACCAGCGAGGGCTCAAGTTGTGCTGCTCCATTCTAATAGTGTTTTCAACTGCTATTCGTTGTGCTGAGCGAGTTTGAAAACCGCGTTGCTGAACTGCGCTGGTCTTGTTTGAATGTCATTGTCCTTGTGACTGTATATTTCCAGGATATTCAAGATGGTTGTGAGAGTCAGGAAGAGTTAAACGTGAAAAATTTGGAAGCGGGAGAGAGCATGCGAACTCTCAAAAAGGCTCTAGAGGTAAGCCTGCACGTACTCGTCACACATGTTTGAAACCGGCATTCGCTTTTTGTGAACAGACCGTACTTTATTCCACACACAATATAAAAAGTGATGAACATCTGACTGAGGCACTACGTGCAGTAGCGTACGAACTTGTTATTGAGTGGTGGGGGGGGGGGGGGGGGCAAACCAGAACCTCCCCCCCCCCACCTATGAGAACTGGGGGGGGGGGGGGGGGGGGGGAGGCAAGCGCCCCCTTGCCCCCCCGGGTGGTACGCCCATGACTATGTGAAATGTATTTGTATTTGGAGTTTCAGCCGCATTTTTTCCGTCCCCCTCAGAACCTCAGAGTGTTTGCCATGGAACAGGACAAAGTTGAGGAAAAAGAGCGGTTAACGCGAGAAGTGGAGAGCCACACTTTAGGGATGAAACGGTAAGCCTCCCTCTCCATGTGCGACCCTGCGTGGTCTTCACTTTGCAGAATGGCTAGGTTGAACATTTACATTAAAAAAAAAAGAATTGTGTGTATGTTTATACAGCCTGAACTTAGTTTGCCTCGACAGGCGACTTGTCTCTCAGCTGTAGATGAGCAATTTAGCTAGTGCGGTAGAACCGCTAGCCTGGGGTCTTTAACGTGCACCACGCAGTAGTGATACACGACCACACGCCGGTACGATGCTCATCCAGATCGAAACGGGCAGGGTTGGGGAGTGAACCCAGAATCCCTGGGTTCTGCAGCGCGAGCTTTCACTCCACGTGCTTCGAGCTGGTGTGTGCTAGCCCACTCGGCCACTGATTCCCCTGAATATTTACATGTATGTTTTGAAAGGTCACATAAGTTACATAATGGTGTCTGATTGGTAGAGGCAATTGGCTTTACCAAAGCCGTATATAGAGGGAGTTTGGCCATTCATTGGGACGTATAGGAGGCAAATGAGGAGGCGCCGTTGGCCAAAAGCGGGCTGGGCGTGTTCCAGGGCATCTTCACGAATTCGAATGCGGCAAACCAGAAGCCGAAAAAATACCCTGGCAGTGGTTGCGAAAAACAAAATTAAGTGCGTCAAAGTAATTCGCAGTGACTGAAAATATGGTGCACATGATTTTTCGATGACGATGATGCAAAATCATGGTGGATGATATATAAAGATGAAGATATAAAAAAGTGTGCAATTAGCAGAACGATCAATGTAATTTGTACGCCAGGTGCCGAGGGCCGGGAATCTGCCATCTGAGTGGTCAGACTCCGTCTGAGCAAAACAGAGTTCAAGCGGCATATTTGTTTCTTACATCTTTTTGCATGATCATAATCGAAACATCACGTGCACCATATTTTCAACCATGAAGAGTTACTACATTGAACTCTTACGTCCTTGTTAAAACTGTTTCTTGCTACCTGCAGGGGATTATTTTCGGCTTCTGGTTGGCCAAGAGTGCATGTCAAGCCCTCTATCTGCTTCTGGTGCACGCCATGGCTCTGCCCGCTCCTCCCATTGACCAAACTCTTTCTATATACGGCTCTCAGGGGCAGATTTAAGAGGGTGGGCGACCACCCCCTTCTAAGCTCTCTAGGTCAACCTTCTTTTAATAAAATCATTGATATATACCAGCCAAAAGTTTTTGGTGACAAAGCAAATGTTGGGTCAACAAAATAGATGCGGGCAACGTTTAGACTGTAACGTCACATCTCAGCAGACTCTCCCCCTTCCACTTCGTCAGCCTAATGCCTACCGCCTCTCTCTGGCCTGACCGATAAATCCGCCCCTGACAGCTCTGGGCTCCACCAATCGGACGCCATTACGTCACTTTTAAAACGCACATCTAAATGTCCCACCTAGCCATCCTCATCTCGATACATTCTTCCAATTTCGCCTGTCCCTTAGGAACACAGAGGCACTCCGGAAAGCCAACCTGACGGTGCAAAAGCACATCGAGGCACGGTATAGAGACAGTCTGCTTTCTGGAGGATCACAAGTGAAGCAAAGGTATGAATTCGCACAACCACTTTTGTAAACTTGGAGGTATAGCTCAGCGGGTGAAAAACCAGAGATGAGAATAGGTATGCTGAACGACAGACTTGGCACGAATACCAGACCAGTGGGCTTTTTTTTTTGTCAGATTTTGCGCTTACATGTTAGTGCCCAACGTCAAATTTCGGGCTTGTTGATGGCGCACAAAGGAAGATATTAGCACACCGCTAGTTTTACAGCTGTGAGAAAATAAAACAGATGGAAAAAAAACTGGCAATTTCTTGTTTGTGTTAACTGTGTCACCCTGTTCTCACATTTTTTTTGTCTTTGTCCATTTTTCAATCGATTTAAGTCATCCTTTTGGACCACTGTGTAAACCTAGGCAGTGCAGCACAAAGTTTTTTCATTTTATTAATGTGAAAGCATTAACTGTCCCACGGAGCGAGCCGACATCATCAGCTTTCAAACCGCGCCAAATGGCACCTTAAATCCTTTCTCAAAGTTAAGCCAGCTCCCAGCTATGAAACTATGCGAAAAGCCTAGCCAAACGGCACCTAGTTTCCCCGATCCCAAAGGAGCGGAGTAAAGCTGATGGATTTCGGCTTCAGCCCCATTGGCTGGCACGCGTCAACGAGGCTCCCATTGGCTGCTGCACGTCAGTTTCAACGACTGCCACCCCATGGCGCTGCGTGTCCATGAGGCAGCGGCTCCACTGCTCCACGCCTAAGGTCAGCGCGCCGAGGCGAGCTATAAAAAAGAGAAAAACCGTTGTGGAAAGGAGGTCGCCCTTCTCCACTTCAGCTTTCCTACGTGCGTGCCCTTTTCTCCTTCGCCCTGTCTTTCTTGTGTTGTATCTGACTATAACGCATGCGCTTGACTGTCGACGCAAGTACGCTGCAGACGAATGACATGCATGCTCTCGCATTCACAACTCGTTAGATGTGCTTAGGTCTACCTCGAGCCTTTTCGTTCCAGATCTTAACCCCCCTGCTCCCCCCCCCCCCCAAAAAAAAAAAAAAAAGTTGTGTTGCCTTTTTTTTTTTGTGTGTGGTTAAAATTTTTTTTATTGAGAGCTATATAATTTGGGGCTCAAACAAAAATTTAACTGCTAATGCCGGTGGCTTTAGAGCAAATACCATATAAAAAGTTTAAGCATAAATTACTTTGCCAAAGTGCCAATGAACACCAGCCTAGTGATATTAGTGACACTTGACCAGCATCAATGTGTTTCTTTCAGGAAAGATCAGATACAGCGGCTTGTACTCAAGGTGTTAAACCTAGGGTGATCAGACGTCCCGTTTTGGCCAGGGCAGTCCCAATTTATAGGTGCATTCCTGCCGTTTTGTCATTTTTTCTCAATGAAGCCTCACTTCTTGTTTTTGTGGGAACGTGCGTGCGTAGTTGCGAAATGGTAGGCTAACTGAGTGGAAGAAGTTAAACGAATATATAATACAATTTATAAAAATAAACATACTATGAAAAGGTTACCTCCAATAGAGTAAATTTAGAGCTCTTTCCGTGGTTCCATCTGTCGGTATGATATGTTCACACAGAAGTTTGTTTGAGGCACTTTTCTAAATTACTATGTTTGGCATGCTTCGGTTTTGTTTAAAAATGATGAAGAAAGGTTCTTTTGTAATCAACTAAACGAAGAACTTAAGAAAAATGCATTTGCAATGAACTCAATAGTAGCAGAGCTTGCTTTTTCTTTATACCCCCCCCCCCCCCCCCCCAATTATTTTCCAAATATTGAACCAAACCAGTTAAAACTATGGCTATACCTAAAAAAAAAAAAGGCTGCAAGAAAATTTTGAAATATATTAATAGTTCTTTATTTTTGTAACAAAAAACCTGTGCAGAAACTATGTAGAGTTTCAGCTCGAAAAGATTTTCATCTACCATAAATCAAGTCATTGGGCTAAGCAGTTTCTCAGTGTGGTGAAGCACAGGTCATCAGGACTGAAATATGATAATCTGGCTTTATCATCAGACCCACTGCTGCTCTGAGTTCGAAAAACCAACGAAGGATTCGCGAGAACTGCCATGTTTGCGAGCGTGTTCCGGACCCGTCGAAGTGGCCATGGCTTTTACAAACGATGACGTTCCGTCTGCTTTGCTTTTGGCTTAAAAATTGCTTCCTCGTGGAAAGAGGGAGAGAAGCACAGGAACCAAAACTGTAGTCTTCAGGGTACCGACAAGGTGGTGCAGTGAGCATGAGAGCAGTGCGGGAGTTTGGAAATGGGCCTCTGCCCACCGATTGTGGGTGGTCGACACTCTATGGCTGTGTTCGGGAAAGAGTTAACTGGTCGCTTTCAGAGACGTTACGGATGGAACTGTGAGATGTCTCTTTTCGTGCTTCATTTTATTCCGGTCCTGGAATCTAGGTGTGCGGCACAATTGCACTCAAAGCACAGCTTGAAAATACTTCAAATGAGAATGCACTTAAAAGGTACGAGGTTTGAGAAAAAAACACAAAAGCAGACTACACAGTGATTCCACTCCTGTGCCATTTTGTGCCAGAAGCAATTTCCTGCACCATCCCGCTAAAATCTGCCATATTGTACCAAATCACACTAAATTGCATGGCTGGCTGAATTAGGCGGCGACTTGCGCCACCTATCCTAGCCACACGCAACCTGATCCGCGGCGAAGTGAAGGACACCACATTTTGTAATGCATAATAAAAAAAAAAATCTTTTTTTTCTGTTTTGCTACCATCAGACACTGTACATTTATGATATAATACCATTTAATGTTTGCTTTAATAGTCTACTGGACAGTAGAACTGCTGATGCACTTTCAATGTTTTCGGAACTTGATGGTAGAAATTTTAATGCACTTATCATGTTTTATCCAATAAAATCATTCCACCTTCATTGGGGAATAATTAAGATAGCAAAATACCCAAGAGATTTCAGATATTTTTGAATGACCATGAACATTATCTTATTGCCACTCAGCATTATTCTCGTTGGCGTCTCGATTTGGTAATAAGGTGCGAGTTTTGCCGATGCCCCAGCAAGTTTAAGTCCTGTTGGAGGTGACGGGTAATTAAAAACAAGGAAAAGCACAAAGCATTTCTTTTATTTCCGTATACAGAAACCTTTGAGTGTTGATGGAGTGGAAAGTTGCCACACATACGTGTGTCACCATTGGAAGCTGCTTTTTGATTAGGCTCCCTTCCTGTTACATCTCAAATTAAGTTAAAATTTTCATATATAGTATTACATTATTCCAAAGTTGAGCTTGTGTGGCATTGGTACAAAAGTGAAAAGCTGGGTAAGTTGGTATGCATTCGGCACATTGCAAAAAGATAGCACTGATAAAGGTAGGAGTTAAAATACAGAAGACAGGGTTCTTATTTGTTTTGTTTGCCAATATAGTTATATCTATTAGTCTTTTTTTTTTCTCTGTGTCCATAAATGAATTTATTTTCCAGCACCTCTTTCATGTTATTTGTTCTTTCCCACGGATTTTTGTTTTTGAGCACCATTTTCTGTTGAAATGTGTTGGGATTGGGACACATTGCTCCAAAGCAGCTTTGTCCCACTGCAATGAGGTTGGGTTGGGTGGAATGCTTGCTATGGCGAATTACGAGGGAAATCTCATTTTAAGGACTTGTTCTAGGGGCCGCGCTGACAAGGAAACCCTGCTTCGGAGCACCACTGGCATGACTGAAAGCCTGTTTTCTGTGAGCAGGATGATGGCAGACCAAGTCAAGCACAGCGAAAATGCCTTGGAGATGTTGGGTGAGTTTTTCCTGTTCAGTCTCGTCTGGGACCGTCTAACCGATTGCCTTGCGCTCTCGCCACACTAGGTGACAGTTGTAGGCTGGTGCAGTCACTAACACAGTGTGGTCACAGAGCCTCGAGGGTCTCTTGAAATTAAGCGTGTCATAGAGCAAAACGGTTGCAATGCTGGTGGCTGTAACCTCATGCAAGCCATCTCTAACTTATTGTTGTATCGGCAACATTTGGCATGTGTATCTATAACATTGCCATGGATATAAACATGATTCCTTCTTGTTTCGGTACTTGAGTCTGCGGTTTGCTTGCCTCCCGATTCCAGCCGTCGCTATGAAAGTGGCCAGGGCTTGAGTAAGGTGTGGGCAGCGAATTTTGTTGGGGTGAGGGTGCAGGCCTTGAATTGCTCTTTTTCTATGGAAGCTGGGTGCAGAGGCAAATTATTTTTCCATAACTCTGTCTACATCAAGGGTGGGAAAGGTATGGCCACAGGCTGCATTTGTATCCAGATAACACCGAGGGGCCTTCACCTGAGTTCAGTACATTCACCATGCACAGGTACATTTTTTTGCACAGCGACCATTTTTTTTCCCCAGCTCAAAGTGCTCGGCATATCACAAAATTATATTAGTTCCAAGAAATTAGTCACTGTAGTGTTCTGTGATAAATTTGATTATCTCCAACAACTACTTAAGGATGGTGTTCCCAGCATACCACCATTTCTGAACCCTTTTGAGGTTTTCCCATGTTTCCTCAGATGAAGTGTGTGTCAAGCAGGCACATAGCAGGGGGAGGGAGCTATGAAGAAATAATTCCATAGCTTCCCCCCCCCCCCCCCCCCCCCCCGCTACACAGCTTTGCAAATGTTGAGCGAAATTTTTTTTTTTTCTTTCTTGCTTTTTACCAGCATGGCGATTTGAACTATGTGCACGGTAGCCCACTGGTTTCAGTCTGTGGCCTTCAAATTTGACATAGATGTAGTTTTCACATGCAATCAGAGGCTGGGAGACCTGTGCAAGTCGATAAACAGAGAGGGGCCGTCTCGCCGCACCAAGAGACATGCTAACAGGCATGACGCCTGTGGCGCTGAATACATAGACCAAACGGGTCGCTGCATAAACGATTGGTTTCGGGAGCATCGCAATGAAGTAGAGTATGCTGCACACTTGCACCCAACAGCTAGCACCCGATAGACACGCAATGACAGGGATGTCGCGGCTGCGCTCTCGACTTTGCCGCCACAACGACGCTGGTAAATCTTTGCGACTGTATCGGGAGGGAGAATATAGTGAATGGTGACGAGCCCGCAAATCATACTCATAGTCTCTTTTGCTCAGAAAGACCTTGAGGCTTCGGCGGCTCGACTGATGCCATCTCATCTCTATATCATCCCCCCCCCCCCCTTTTTTTCAATGCTTGGAAGTTGCAGTGATGAACGTGTTGCACCATTTGCGCCAAACTGCCCTATGATTGAAAGTCTGCTACATCTTGCTCCAAAATGCCACGTTTGATACGAATTCTGCCACACCTGCACCGAGATGGGCTTAAAGGAAAAAAAAAAAGTTTTATTTCTGGTTGACCCTAATATTCAGAGAAGTAGAAGGAAAGAAAAATTGTACAAAAATTAATTTCACAGCGTCTCTACTCACCGTATAGTTTGTTTTGTCTTAGGTCAGAGCACAGTCGAATGCTCAAACACATACAACAACAAACACACATGCTAAAAGCGCAAGTAACGGGACATTCGCTGCACTTGGTTGGTTTAGCAGATGAAAGAATGCGTACAAAGAGTTGACGACAGCCATGATGTTGCGCTTTGATGCTGCGAATCAATCGGCCTGAGCTGTTGATGTTGCAAATCAACCGGCCAGAGCCAGTGATGCTAGGCATCAACCATTCTGGCCGGTTGATGCGCTGACTGGTAGATTGCTGACATTGTCTAAATTTACAGACACTGTCGTCGATTTCAGGAACTAAGGGTCATGAGAAAACTTTGCAAAATAGGGAAATTGCTGATTGCAGCCACTGTGATAAAACAAAACCAGGGTCTTGTACTCTTGGAGCCCTATGCTACACGTCGAGACCAAGGGACTGGGACATCGTCGTCTGTTGGGATTGGTCAGCCGCTGTCCAATTGCAGCAGGCGGCGTTGTCCCGGTCCCGCTTGGTCCCGCCATGTAGCATAGGGCCCCTGATAAGATCCCTCGATTATCATGTCTGTCACATGCCTTCGTTCCGTGGCTGCACAGTACCTTGGCACTTACGCCGCTCGCGTCGTCCTTCGCCTCTCACCAGCCTGCACACGTCGAGCTTCACCGCTTTGCACCGGAGTGCTAGGAGCAGCGACTGACCTCAGGGAGTGCCTGGCTTAGCGCTATAGGCACGCAAATTATGCTCAGGATTATTACAAGTCTAACTTCTTTGTCCTAATTGTAAATTAATCTCTAATTAAAAAAAATAAAACAGCAGAGAAAGAGAAAGAAGAAAACAAGGGTTTATATATATTTTAATAAATATGGTAGTCACGGTAGTTCCTGTGCAGCTGTCGATCGGAGGAGCAACAAACTTTGATGCAACTCCGGTTCCTATGCCTCTAAAGAGCATTGTCACCTTTAAAGCACTATTGTAGTAGGCTTTTATAATATTTTCGGGTGGTTGTTTTTGCAGTTTATGATATTAGGCTTGAGTTTGATAGGTTCATTAAACTTATGGGACACATTTTTATTGGTAGTCGTGTTTGTGGATATGCCGGTTCTTGCCGGCATTTTACTGAAATTATATTTGCAGGTTAAACAAACTACCGAATGTAAAACGGAGAGGGGAGACAGGCTTTATACTAATGAAGTGTTGCGCTATAATTCACTTTTCAACCATTTTTGAATTTTCATTGTAAATGCAACTACAGTATAGACCACTTACAACGTAACCGCTTATAGTGCAGGACTGGGTATAACGCGGCTTTTTTCAACCACCGGTTCGCCTCCCATAGGACTCCATGTAATTACATACCGCTTAAAATGCAGGCACGCGAAGGGAAATACTGGATATAGTGCGGTTTTTGGAACAGCTCGCCGACCGTGCCGACCGACCGGCGCAGCGAGCACGCTCCCCTGTGCGGCACTAGATAACGGCGCTAGCCACAAGCGGCACTCGCGGGGGCAAGGATGGCAAGGAGGTTGCTTGAAGAAGCAGGGAGAAGCGAAGAGAGGCTTCAGTTGCCATAGCGATGGAGGGACTTTCCCCCGCTGCGTTGGAAACAACCGCAACGACAGACCAATCACAGGTCGAGAACAACTGGCCGCGCGTGTTGCATGCCAGTCGCGGGCCAACTGCTTCTATCTGCAAACATGGCGTCGGTGGTGATCGTCGACGTAGATGGCGTGGTGAAAGCTCATCGTTCCGCGTAGAAGCAGTAAAAGCGCTATCCTTGACTGAATTTTCGTTGTGTGTTGCTATGATAACCCAGCACGTACTAGAAGGGAAGATCCATCTACTCGTGCGGCGATGTCGTGGCGGCACTCTCAAGACAGCAGAAACGCCCGTGTCGTTGTGTTTGTTTACTTCGACTACAGTGGTGCTTTCTAAGCATTTGTGTTTTCGAACATCGCCCGGATTTCTTATTTAGAGCATTTCATGCGTGTGCTCAAGTTGAAGGTATTACTGGCGCGTACCGTATAAAGGATGCGAATTTTCACGCGTTTTCATCACCGGAGAAATGTGATTAGGGTTAGCAATCCTGAACGCTCGCAACGTCCGTCCGCAACCCGCGACGCCGTTAAAAGGCTGCGCGAGGCAAAAGTCACTCATTTCTTTCAAAATGTGTGACACACTCGAGAGAGAAGTGTACTAGTCTGGTGAAATGAAGACTTTCCTCAAACTAAGCTTTATTTTTCATCTAATATAAAATAAATTGTTTTACAAAGGTAGGTTGTCTCATGGCATGTATTTTGGCCTGAAAAATTGATGTTTTGGTTATAGCATGGTACCGCTTATAGTGCGGATTTTTGCGACTCCCGCGACATACGTTATATGCAGTCTACACTGTATATACTGTGACCAGAGCCTTATATTTCTAAAACGAATACTGTTCCTTTTGCGTCCTATCTATTCTTATCACGAAAGGTAATAGGTAATATGCTCCAGCTTCAAAGAGGAACCCTCGAGGTACCAAATTATTGTATAGTATATTTTTTTATTGCGTCTCTTGTTTTTTCTTGCACTACACATAGCAATTAAAACTGGAATGTTCTAATCTACCAACTCTGCTTCCTAAAATGTTATATATAGATAGGGGGAATCGATGCCCGACTGGGCTAGCACACACCAGCTCGGAGCACGTGGAACGAAAGCTCGCGCTGCAGAACCCAGGCATCCTGGGTTCGACCACAACCTTGCCCGTTTCGGTCTGGATGAGCATCGTACCGGCGTGCGTTCATGTATCACTACTGCATGGTGCACGTTAAAGATGCCACGCTAGCGGTTGTACTGAACCGCCTAAATTTCTCATCTGCAGCTGAGACACAAGTCGCCCATTGAGGCAGATTAAGTTCAGGCTGTATAAACATACCCACACCCGAATTTGTTTTTTTTTTAAATGAAATACTTTATGGATCTTGACGTAAAATCGTGAGTGGTGTCAGATGCTTTCGGTATTCTTGTTGCTCAGACAATGTGTGTTTGTGTTGAAACTTGTCAATATGTTGAATACAAATGCTTACAAACTACATGTACAGAGTTGTTTTCTATTCAAATCATTTATTAGTTTTGGATGGATGGTAGTTTTTAGAGTGCAGCTCTTAGGCGCCCATTTCCGGCTTGAGCGGCGGCGCCGTTGGCGTAACCGTGCGGTGCATTATGGGTACATTTTCTCGAAGGAACCCGAGGTCCTCCCGAAGGACCTCGGGTTCCTTCGGGAGGGCCTCGGGAGGACCTCGGGTTCCTTCGGGAGGACCTCGGGTACCTTCGGTGACCTCGGGGAGGGGGTCACGTGACCTCCCCCCCCCCCC